GTTTCATATGCACCTGAAAAAAATGTTTATTCTACATTTTTTGGTCGCAGTGTTCTCTACATATGATTTGGATCAGATCTGCAAATTTTGTCATATTATTCCACATTGTTATGAATAATACTTCATATTGTCACTAATATCATAATAATCCATGTTGTTACTAATAACTGTATCTGTTTATCCCACTAATTACAATAACAGTATCTTAACTATGAATATAAACTTATCTATCCTTTTAATTATGTCAATATTTGCTTTGTGCATTTTTAGGCTATGTTTTTAGACACATACAAATACAGATTCTCTCTATTTTTCTGGTGTATTTACTCCTTTATCATTATGAAATAGCCTTCTTCATCTCCAACAGTGTTACTTTTTTAAAAGTCTATTTTATGTAGTATTAACAGAATCACACCAACCTTCTTTTGGTTCATATTTTCATGGTATCTTTTCCATCCTTTTACTCTCAATTTGTCTCTATCTTCATGCTTAATGTTTGTCTTTGTATAAAGCATATAATTATTGTTTGTTATTTTATCTACTCTGCCTTTCAAATGGAGGAGTAACCTGTTTACATACAAAATAATTGTGATATTTCTGTGTTTAAGATCATCTTCTATTTGTTTTCTCTTTGTCTTATTTGTCCTATGTTCCTTTCTCTTTCCTTTTACCCCTGATTTGAATGAATCGTATTTCTCTTTGTGTCATTCTATGTCCTTTCTTCCTCTACTAGGCTATTATATCTTTTAAACCATTCTTTCTAGAGGCTATCCTACAGATTGCAACATGCATCCTTGATTTGATAAGGCAATAAACATTAGTGCTATTATCACTTCCTGGTTAATTCAAAGATCTTAGAACACTTATACTCTATTGACCCTTCCAACCCTTTGCTACTGTTTATATCTTAAGCTTCTTTTAATCTGCAACTGCCAACTCCCATGTCTTTCATGACATTGATTTTTGAAGAGACCAAGGCAGTTGTCTTGTAGAATGTCCCACCTACGGGATTTGTTTATGTTTCTTGGTTTCATTTAACTTGGTCCTCTACCCTATCTTCTTTTGGGAAACCAAAAGTGAGATGTAGCTAAATTAGATGTAGGGAAGACATATTTAACAATACAAGTTTAAAGGCAATGCTCTGAATTTTATATTGTCATGTCAGGGACACAGTCATTCTAACCTCATAATATTGTATAGATTAAATGAGATGGCATACGTCAAGTGTCTGTGATGCTATCTGACACATAGTAAATAAAGAGCACAGTTTCTCACCCTCAGCACTGTTAATATTTTAGATCAGATAATTTTCTGTTGTGGGAACTGTCCTGTGCATTGTAGGATGTTTAGCAGCATTCCTGACCTCCACCCATTTTACACCAGTAGCATCCTCCAGTCGTGACCACCAAAAATGTCTCCAGACATTGCCAAGTATTCTCTGGGTGGGGATGGGGGGTGGATTGGTCCCAGTTCAGAACCACTGGTAAGGAACAAAAACCCAAGTATTTGATAAGTATTCCACAAGCACTAACCATCATGCTTTGTGCAAAGCTCTGAGATTAAGACCTAATGAAACAGGATTTCTGACTTCAACACATTTATGGTTTTGGGGAGGAACAATCAGGCAAATAGAGAATTAACACATGGTATGATCAGTGCTGTCATAAGGACAATCATTGCTGTATGTGAAGAGAAGCACCTTACTCAGTCTACAGCAGAGGCCTTTCATGGAAGAATGAAGAACTCAGATTTGAGACGTGAGGGACAGAATTCTCTCTCCTTCCTCATTAAGGCTCAAGAGATCGAACCAATAAAGACCATTCATAATGAAAATCAGTACTTCAGAAATGAATTATCAAAACCCATAACATTTCTAGGCTGAATTTCAAAGTATGACAAAGATGAATCTACCACAAAATATGGAGACACAGGTAAGGGAAGCCAGGAGTGAGAGCTACAGACAGCACAATCAGCCATCTACTTCTTTAGCTGTTAACAACAAATATGTTACATTTTCCCATTCTATAGCTCTCATCTGTCTGGGAGCACACTGGAAAACCAACACCAGAATAACACATCAGGATAATGTCACGTACAGCCTCCCCCTCACTGACACTGGGAAACCCTAACTAAAGGGGCCCATCTAACTGTGCACACTGAGCCAGCTACCTCTACTTCCATTCTCCGTCTTGCCCAACGATTTCTTTAGATCACTTGCACTATAAGTCAGAGACTGGTTACCTTTTCACTAACCCCATTTCTTCTATTTCCTGGGCATATAGCTTGATTACCTTTCATAGCCTCTCCTGCAGATTACTGTGGCCACGTGAACAATTTCTAATCCAAGGTATATAATGGTGAAAGTGATATAAACTCTTTCTAGATCTTGCCCATGAAAACCTTACACGTGCAACCCTTTTCCAGGGGCTTGATTCAGACACACATTGGTACCTTGGAAGCCAAGGTTTAATGACAGCGGAGCTGAAGAGTAGAAGGAGTCTGTGTCCCCAACTCTCCCCTTGAAGGGGAGAGGCCCAGAAACCAAGAACACCCTTACTGGGTTTGATATGAATAAGAGGTAAACTTCTACAGTGTTAAGCTGTGAGATTTGAGGGTTTATCTGGTACAGCAGCTAGCATTAGCTTCTTAATACACCAAAGTAGAGAAACAGCCAGGTTTACCCTGCAATTGTAATCCCCTCAGTCCCCCAGACATGCACAGTATTTCAGCTGTGTTCACCATGCCAAAGAAAAGTGCCTTTTGCCAGCATATTTCACTGATATTCCCTGGAGTTAAGTGTGTATGTGAGAGGCCATTTGCAGGGCCACTGCTAAAGATCACACTTCATCTAATGTCCGAGCACAGAAGTATGAAAGGGTGTGGGACTTTGATGTCAGACAGATGTGGCTTTGAATTTTGTCTGCCCCCCACCCTTGACATTTCTTTGGCTTCACCTCCCTGAGCCTTTGTTTCTTCATCTGCAAAATGAGGGTAGTAACACCTCACAGGAATTTTATGGGGATAAAATAACAGATAGCACATAAAACATCAGCATAGTTCCCAGCATGTCGAAGGCACTCAATTAGTTCCCTCCCAACAATCATGAAATGAATAAATTAGGAGTTTGCTTACCCTTCTAATCAGAAGACTAAGCAAGAGGTGGCCTTTTCACAAAGGACTGTACAGGGGCGCCCGGATGGCTCAGTCGGCTCAGTGTGCAACTCTTGATTTTGGCTCAGGTCATGATCTTACAGTTCATGAGTTTGAGCCCCACATCGGGCTCTTTGCTGGCAATGCGGAGCCTGCTTAGGATTCTCTCTCTCCTCCTCTCTGTCCCTCCCCCACTCATGTTCCCCCCACCCTCTCAAAAATCAATAAACATTAACATAAAACACAAGGGATTATATATTTTACTCTTCCATAGAAATGTTTAATATCTCATACAAAGGAACCAGGTTCAATAAATACTTTTATTTTTCCATTGGTCTAAATAAGGAGAAGAATTTAAAGTTTAAGAAACTTAAAAATATAAATGTAAACAGAGGCAGCATTCATTATTTTTAGAACTCTTTTCCTTTATAAGAAATAAATGTCACATTTTTTAAATGTTTGTTTATTTTTGAGAGAGACAAAGACAGAGCATGAGCAGGGGAAGGGCAGAGAAAGAGAGGGAGACACAGAATCCAAACAGGCTCTGGGCTCTGAGCCGTCAGCACAGAGTCTGACACGGGGCTCAAACTCATGAACCAAAAGATCATGACCTGAACCAAAGTTGGACACTTAACCGACTGAGCCACCCAGGTGCCTCACATTTTTAAACCAACAACAGAACATATGCTGACCTATGACCTACAAGGAGAGCAATAAATGGGACGGTTCACACAAAAGAGGAGCAGTAAAGGGTTTTGCTGGATAATACCTGTGTTGCCCCAGATGCAATGACTCCAAGGGAAAAGATGGCGGATCACAAAGCTAACATGGTGGTGGCAGGCCCTCCACCTCACCCAACCCCATCTCTGTAGATGAGATTTGGCAACAGGTAAATCGAACAGGATCCTTCTAGGGAGGATGATGGAGCAGGGAGCTGTTGCAGCCCTATTCCCAACTGCAGGAGAAAGAGGCTGAAATGTCAGGCCAACCAGGATGTGGAGGGAAACGGGGAAGAGAGCCGCCCACCAGCATGACTAAGTGCTCCTGGGGACAATCCCCACTTAGAGCGCAGGAAGCAAATCTCCAGATGTTATGAGCTGCTAGATGTGATTAACTGAGGAAAGGTGAAGCTGCCCACTTAACCATCTGAGCAGCACCCCATCAAAGTGACCCAAGAGTTTTCTGCAAAGGCATTAATCACCAAAACAAATGGAGGCTCCATCCATCTCCATCCCCACCCCTCTTCATCTCTCCCTCTGATAGTCAGAACAGCAGCTTATTTTTAAACCCTGGCACCACATTCTCTCCTGGAAACATGTGGGCTCCCTGACACAGGCTGATGCTCAGAGGAGATACAGGCACACCAGCGGGACTGCCCACTCTCTCATCCTTCTCCCGTGAGGGGCAGAGGGGGTTCAGGGAGGAGAGGGCCTGACCAGGGAGCCTGCTACGGTGCAGGGGAACAGAGCGTATCTGACACTGGCCTCCATGGCAGGGATAACCGGCTTCTGGCTTCCTTCCTCTGCAAAAGGGAAGGCTGAGGCTTGGGCCAGAAGGACCCCCATGTACAGATACCAATAGCAACAGCTCAAGCCTGGGAAGAAGGAAAACAAAGCCCAGATGCCAAATCTAGCATCTTTTGAAGAGAAAGACTTTAAAAAAATAAAATAAAGCAAAAGAGTTTAAAAGGATCTCCATGTCTCTTTAACATGCATCTGATGTGCTTTAAATAAAACAGCAAACATTTTATTAAACATTGGAGACTTTTTTTTGGCAAGGTCGCAATGAAGTCAATTTACAAAAAAAAAAAAAAAAAGACTTTTCAAGAAAGGAGGTTGTATTATACTTACAATCGCTCCAGCTGCTTCAGATCCTGGAAGGCGCCTCTCTCGATGACGCTGACCTGGTTGTCTTCCAGATGCCTAGAACCACAGAGACAGCAGCGGTCAAGGACAAGCGGTCTAAGGGGTCTCCATGCTAGGCATCAGGCCCAGCGGGCATGGTCACTCAGCCCCTCCCACAACACTCTGCCCTGCCCCCCGACCCTCAACTGGGATCAGTCTGGTGGGACAAGATAATTCACATGCCAGCTTGGTGTCACGGTAACCAGGGTTTCGCCGCCTGCACACTTCTACCTGACAGATTGGTTTCCATGCCTCTATTTTAAGAATGTTCTCAGCAAATGTCCCCCCAAGCACTGCAGGATGTTGCACAGAAAAGGAAGAGGTAAAAGCAGCTTCTTATGAAAACCACACATCTATTCAGCATCTCTTCCCTTGGAGCTCCCTCCTCTAAGGATTCAAAAATACTTCATTAAAAAGGGCCTTCTCTGTGCACTGTCTCTGGGTCACCTAGCAGGAAGGGTGACCCTATTGTTGGACAACTGCCCATGCCAGGAACTCTGCTTGCTCAGGGCCTGGCTGTTCCCAACATCTGGGTGATGGTCATAAAAGCTAGTCCAGCCACAAACTCTGCTGACCTCCAAAGTCCTCCACGAATTAAGCGAGGTTGATTCCTGCATATGCCATATCCTAAGAATTGAGTATACAATGAAACATTTGTTTTCCTAATTAAAAAAAAATGGCAGCCTAAAATGGATTAGCTGAACAGTAGGGAAGGGAAATATGGAGGCTGCACAGTTTCCATCTAGGACTAACCCTGGTCACTGAATGAGACTTAGGAGGATGCATCTGTGATTGGAGGATGTTTGTTTGGAAGGTAGAGTCTAGGGTTCCTCTGGATTAGGCAGGAGGAGGGGTGCCCTGAAGCACCTGAAGGAAAATCAGAAGGACAGAAGGAAACTTTAGGGAAGGTTTGGCCTTCATTTCAAAACAACTGCATCTATGCTAGCCCACTACCTCCAAGGCATTTTATAACCCCTATACTTCTTGGGCTTAACACTTGGGTCTTTGCATTTATTTTCAAGTCCATCTTTCCCACTATGCGTAAGGACTAAGAACGTGAGAACTTTTTTTTATATATATATATTTTTGAGAGAGAGACAGAGCATGAGCAGGGGAGGGGCAGAGAGAAAGGGAGACACAGAATCCGAAGCAGGCTCCAGGCTCTGGGCTGTAAGCACAGAGCCCAACACAGGGCTTGAACCCACAGACTGTGAGATCATGACCTGAGCCGAAGTCACATGCTTAACCAACTGAGCCACCCAGGCGGCCCAAGAAGGTGAGAACTTCTGCTCGTCATCATATTCCTAGCCCTAACACAGTTGCCTAGCACAGCAGCCACCTAATAAAGGCTTTTGACAAATGAAAAGCTAAAGAGGACTTTGGGCTGCATAACATATTGATTTTATATCAAGGAAAAGTCTAGTCTAGGATGTATGAGGTGTCTGACTGAGACTATCAGAATGATAAGGGTATTTTGTTTGGGTTCAATGACATTCTACATTTTTGTGAGTTTTTTTTTTTTTTTTTTTTTTACAAATAATTAAAAATCTCTATCACATCACATCACATCACATCACATCACATCACATCACATCACATCACATCACAAAAGAAACTCCTTTTGAAAAATCAGCTCCTGCATTTCCAAATACCAACAATTGGCAGGAACTGAGTATGGGGTCAGGCAAGGCACACAGGCTCCTCAGTCTTCCACCGTCCTCACCTACTCCAGTCTGTACATTCATGTTACTCTGCCTCTGGAGGCTAACCCTCCTTACTTAACAGATATGGACACCATGTAGCAGGGAGGCGAAGAGACTCACCCAAAGAAAAATTATTTGTATATTGGGTAGACTCCCTAACTCCCAGTCTGGTGTGCTTGCCAAATCTGGCATAAAATCCCTTTCCTGCTTTCTTACCGGCTGATGGTGTGACATTGGGCTATCTAGTCAACCTCTCAGGGACTCTGTTTCATTTGTAAAATTAAAATAAATAAATAAATAAATAAATAAATAAATAAATAAATAAATAAATACATCACATAAGTCCTTGTCTGAATAAAAATGGAACCGAGTGTATAAATTATCTAGCCCAGGATGTGGAGTACAATTAGAGGCTTAATAAATGTTCTTTTTCTTCCCTTCTCTCCCTCTCCATTTTGCCATATGGCAAGGAGTGCCTTGGAATGCTAACAGACTCACACTAGCACATCTTGCTAACCAGGGAGCTAGTTCCATATTAGTGGCTGGGGGTTTGTTTAGCTGGGTTTTTACTATCAATCAATCCATCACAGAGCTTGTTGTGATTACTTCCCAATAATAACAAGGAGCAACACGATGGGGACTGAGTGTCATATTCTCACTGGGTTTCTGAAGGAGTTTAACTCCAACTTCCTACGATGAATCTTTTAGTTCTGCTTCTTTCAGAAAGGGGGGTAAAAAAAATGCAAATATATCTTTGTTAGATATCTTCCCCTTCTCCACTTTGCTCAGGCTCTGGGAAGCTAACTTTTATCACTTCAAGAAGCTTCTCTGACTTTGGCTTCCAGCTGGGTTTAGCCAATGGAAGTCACCAGCAAGAGATGAGAGGGCAGGACAAAAGTGAGACTGAGGGATTTATTGCCACCTCCTTCCCTGCCAAGTCATTTCAGGTTGATTGTGTCCCTCTACCTAAGACCATAGGTCCAATAATCAGGTAGCTCCTACCTTTGTAGGCTTAGATAACTACTTCCTCCCACTGCTCCTTGAGGCCCAGAGGGCTGCTGGGGCTCTTTGTTGTCACTATACCCAGGAAACTGCACCATGTCTCCTTGGTTTCTCTTAACTTTGCCCACACTTTGGTAAATAATTCTTTATTTAGCTCTGAGTGCCATCTTTTTCCTGCTGGCATCCTGACTGGTAAGGTAGCTAGGGTTCCTTTCTAGATCTAATTCCTAGATCTATCAGAGTCCAGCCTAGTACCTGACTTTTAGAGGCTCAATGAATAATCAACATTTGATGAATCAATGAATCAGTGAATGCAGACGTTGTGAACCTTCCATCCAGAATTCTAGGCTGGGATGCAGTTCAGGAGAATGTGCTAACGCCACTGATATCACTCTCATTTTACTGACCAGATGCAGGAGGTCAGGGATCCAGGAAAGGCTGGAAGACCAGAAGGCTGTCCATGGTTTGAGTCTGTTCTGAGTTAAAGACAACAGACTGTGTTCATTTTCAGCTCTTTTGGCACTGTTATTTTTTTAGTTTTAACACTGGATCAGAATCGGAAATCGCCCCTTGTGATGATGGCTGGGTGGATTTTAACTCTTTTATTAACCCCATTTGGGATAAAGCTGGTTCCCACATTGTGGGCATAGCAGAGTTCTTGCAACAGACTACTAAGAAAGGGAATATAATTGATACCACCAGAAGAGATCCTTCCTCACTCCCACTCTGTGGGACAAAGGATTGTTATGGGCAATTCTTATATCTTCTTGAATGTACTTTATTTGGGGAAAATTGCCTTTCGATGAGACCAAAGTTCCCTAATCTCCATTTTATCTGCTTTTGCCCATTCACCTGCACTGTATTAACAGTTCTGCATGGAAATAGGTGGCAAACTCAAATTATTAAGGACTATTGAGTCCTTTCTGGCTTCACTATAAATTGTAAATAAGAAACAGATATAGGGAATATGCTAAGGTGTGATGAAAGCTTTTCAAAAAAGATAGTTGTCTAGGTTACTCAGCTGAAAAGAATAGAATGAGGGAAAATATGGTTTAAATGTCTGGGTATTTTACTGGTGTTAGAAAGCATTTCAGCTATCCCACCTAGCAGATTCTTTCACAGTAATAAAGGGCCACTTGAATGGAATTGTCTTTGAGTTGATAAGGAAGGTAATGAAACACAGTATATTAACAGTGTCTATAAAGCAGGGGAGGGGCAGTGTTTTGGCATTGGTTATCAAAATAAGAAGAATGTGCCAATTAAACAAAAGATAAACTGGAGTCCAAGAAATGCTGTAGATCATCCAGAGGATATTAATACGATCTTTTGTGATTATTTTAAACTTTCTTATTTGTAGAGAGCAGATATGGAAATCGGAATTTTTATTAGTCTTCTGGTGTAACAAAATCAAAGGGTTTTCTTTGCTAACTTGGTTAGAAAATGAAACATTAGGCAAAATTTCTGACTTATGTAAAAGGAAATCTCTTACAGATACAGGGGGTGGAAATGGAAACAGAGAAGTTACATGTTTGTTCTTTAAGCTGTCAAATGACCTGGAATCAGGAGTTTACTGCCTCTATTTCTTCAACAAAATTACCCTGAAACTGAGCCATAGAATTCCCTCAACCTGTCCCAGTCTCAGTTCTGACCCACATACATCTTGTGAGAGCTGCTGGTCATTTCACAGACACGTGACTCCTCAGGACAAAAGAAAGACTGGGCAGAGGGTGGAGTCTTCCCCTTCTGCCCTCCACCTTCTCTCCCCATCCCCCACCACTCCCACCCAGAGGATGGTGAGAGAAGCGTGAACATGTCACAGACTGGAGAACACATGAAGGGGAAAACATCTGTTATCTGGAGGCCTGACATTCAGATCCTAGTGCCCCCCCACACTGGTGTTCAGGGAAACTCACATAAGCAACTTACTCGCACATCAGGGCTGCATTTACAAAATGGGTAGGCTGTTTCTTCTTGGTTTTCTAAAATTTCTATAATGTAAATGGACAGCAGCTCTGCACAGAGGTCAGTAAGAACATGTTCAGGTTTCTGATTTCTCTTCCACATGGTTACCTGCCATGTGAAGCTGGGACAACTAAACCAACTATGCCCCTTATTTCTCCTGGGCAGAGAGGAGTTAATAACCACATAACACAGAGCTTGGTCTGTGAAAGGTACCATATATACATTGGTTGTCATCACCATCATTACTACTATCTACTTCTCTTTTCTAAAATTTTTTTTTAATTAAAAAAAAATTGTTTTAATGTTTATTTTTGAGACAGAGAGAGAGACAGAGCATGAATGGGGGCAGGGACACAGAGGGAGGGAGACAGAATCCAAAACAGGCTCCAGGCTCTGGGCTGTCAGCTCAGAGCACAACATGGGGCTCAAACTCAACGACTGTGAGATCATGACCTGAGTGGAAGCTGGACGCTCAACCGACTGAGCCACCCAGGCACCCCAGTACTATCTACTTCTCAATCAGGAAAACAACGTAGCACAAGTAATATTCCACAGGTTGCAGTGAGAATGAATAGACTACATGAAAATGTTAAAACCATAAAGCATTAAATGCACAATTATAAGAGTTAGAAGAACTTATGCCCCCCAAACTCATATGTTGATGTCCTAACCTCCAGGCTATCATAATGTGACCTTATTTGGAGATAAGGTCCTCACTGAGGTAATTCAGTTGAAATGTGGTTATTAGAGTGGGCTCTAATCTGACTGGTGTCCTTATAAAAACAGAAAATGTAAACCAGAGACCTGCATAGAAGGAAGAAAATGTGAGAGACTCATCAAGAAGACAATTATCTAGAAACCAGGAGTTCCCAAGGCCACCAGAAGCTAGAAGGGGGGGCTAGATCAGATCCCCACCCTCTCTCAGCCCTCAAAAGGAAACCAAACCCGCTGACACCTTGGTTTTGGATTTCAGGCCTCAGAAACTGTGAGATGATAAGTTTTGTTGTTTAAGCCACCCAGTGTGTGGTACTTTGTTACAGCAGCCTTAGGAAACTAGTATACTACCCATTCCTCATCTTACACACAAGAAAACTGAAGCCCACAGAGGTACAGTAATTCACCTAAGATCCCATGGGCAGTTAATTCTGATGCAGGACCAGAACCTGGTGCTTCCTGTCCCTACCACAAAATTCATTGTATTACAAAGGGTTATTGGTAAAAAGGAGGTGGCTTCAGATACCAAGACTTTAGTTGCTGCTTCTAGTAGACATTTGCCATCCACAATTCCATAACACAACAAACACCAAGGCAGTGGCCAGATGGCCCAAACGGTGCTCCAGGTCTGGAGCCACACTTATGGGTCAAAATCAACCTCTGAATAAAGTAGGAAAGAGGCTCCAATTGCTCCTCTCCTATACCTCTAAATGTCTGAGACTTGCCAATAGACAAGCCTTTAGGCACATTCTTACCACTGACAGATTTAGGGACAGGTTAAAGTGTTCAATATTTAGCAAGGAAACCTGATATTCCTTGCCCCCCTTTTGCACCAATACCCATCCCAAATTTTGCTACCTGTCTATACAGCTGTGGGTGTATAACAAGGGCTCTGACCCTGTCTGACTCTCTCCCTCCCTCCTCTCCTCTTCTCCATTAGGCAACAACATAAATAACTTTTGTTCTGATTGCTCTTTTAATGCACAGGCTGGAGAAGAAATTATAATCTCTATGGAAGAGTAGCATGGTCAGTCAACCTGACATTGCTGTCATCCTAGAAGCTGGGCCTTTTGATTTATTTGTGAATAGCCCTCTGTTTTCCCTGTCACTGGAATTGACTTCTTCCATTGGTCTAGCCCAGCCAGCAGCATGGAGACACAGAATGAGATACCTGTGAAAACCTGGGTACACTAATGAAGTGCTTTCTGCTACAGAATGTAAGTCTTGTCACCTAGTGCATACGGGTGTGATGTCAGGGCAGCAGAACATTTTCACCAGGCCTAAGAGTTGAAAATGAAATGCACTGGAGAGCCATGTGTTACTTACAAGACCCGGAGGTTCTTGAGTCCAGCGAAGTCCATTTTGGTAATCCTGGTAATATTATTTCTGTCCAGGTCACTGCAATGGAGAGCAGATCTAGGTCAGATTTTTGCAGGTTACGTTTATGGTCTATTCAACCCAGACAGTCTTGAAGGAATGCTGCTTGTCAAGGAAAAGGTAATTCCAATGATTAATGTCATCCCCTGAGCATGCCCAACCAACTTAAGGATACTGTATGGAATAAGCCATCCATTATATATGTAGTAGAGCCCTGTTATATTTAGCTTCCTGGCTTCTGTTGCCCCTTCTTTGGGTAAGAACTTTTCTTTGGAAGTCCCCTCCCCCAACTCTCAGATCATGTCACATAAGTGAGGCTTGCCCCTCTTCCCAGCTCCAGGCTAGGCTTATAAGCATCTTCACTCCCTCTGACCACAGGAATTGTTTCAGGAATGCGTACATGACTCAAATTTCTAACAGCTCTCTCCCCATTAGGTTTCCAAGCTGTTCAGCACTGCCAAAAGCCAACTTGCCACTATGAAGAGAGAGTTTTCCAGAGTCAAAAGATAAAGAGAGACTGATTCCTGGTGCTATCTTATAAGTATCTGGACCTACCCATGCTGAAGCCAAATACTTCTGTATTTCAAAATCACACGAGCCCGTCTATCCCACATCCCTATTATCTTTAAACAGTTTGAGTTGAATTTTCTACGACTTGAAAACAAAAGAATCTCGACTGACTCTGGTACCTACCTAGGTATTTATTTATTTTCCAGCTAGTTTGTAAAGTCCCTGAGGACAAAGATAATATCTCATTTAACTCCATACCCCAATATAGAAAGTATGTGCCTGGCAGAGAGTGGAGGTAATTTTACTAATCTCATACATTAGGTAAAGACAGCTACATGGATTGCTCCTGCAAAAATGGTCCCAAAGAGAAGAATTTGCCATGGAAGAACTGAAAGCATCATGGTGATATTTCTGTTGGTGAAAAAGGGTACCATGGGTATTAGGACACCAGGGTTAGAGAAAACCAAAGTCAAAAATGAACCTATGAACAAGTTATATATATATATATATATAAATATATATATATATATATTTATTTTTTTTATGTTTACTAAAATTATCTAAGAAGACTAGATGCAAAAATAAATAAATGAGACCAGGAATAATATGTTACAATTCTTTTTTTTTTTTTTTCTACGTTTATTTATTTTTAGGACAGAGAGAGACAGAGCATGAACGGGGGAGGGGCAGAGAGAGAGGGAGACACAGAATCGGAAACAGGCTCCAGGCTCTGAGCCATCGGCCCAGAGCCTGACGCGGGGCTCGAACTCACGGACCGCGAGATCGTGACCTGGCTGAAGTCGGACGCTTAACCGACTGCGCCACCCAGGCGCCCCTACAATTCTTAATAATAGATACTGAGTGATTAATTCCTATCTACTATGCCTTTTTGAGAAACTTTTCAGGTTTTGGCCACACTGTAGTTTCAACAAGGTATTTGTTTTGTTTTGTTTTTAAGATTTTTAAAAAAATATTTTATTTACTTTTGAAAGAGAAAGAGATGGAGACAGAGCGTGAGTGGGGGAGGGGCAGAGACTGAGGGAGACATAGAATCCAAAGCAGGCTCCAGGCTCTGAGCTGTAAGCACAGAACCCAATGTGGGGCTCAAACTCATGACCGTGAGATCATGAACTGAGCCAAAGTCAGACACCTGACTGACGGAACCACCCAGGCACCCCTCAACAAGGTATTTGTAAAATGACTTTGCTCCTTCCTGAACATTCAGGAACTAAGAGGCCATTTTCCCCATGACAGATCCCCACCCACACGCTCACTATTTCTTTGGTTTACCTATCCAGGTCCTAAAGTTGCCATCCATCAGTCATGCCTCAGAGGGACTTGGGAGCTCTACAGCTGCATAAAGGGAATGGAGACACAATCTTCAGATTCTCATACTTGGTATGAGGAGGGATTATTCTCCTGGTATTGAAAATAATATCAAAAATAGAAATCAAGTGAGTCCTTGGGTAACCTCACCTGGGAACCACCTCCCTTCCTCATCCAGTTTTCCACTAACAAAAATAGCAACCAAGTTGTTTCTTAGCCAGCCTGTGATGGAGTGAGGCAGTATATAGTCTTTTCAGATGTAGTGGAGTGCTGGTAAAAGGAAGAGCAAGAATTACACAGGAAAATGAAGAAAGTTGCTCGTGTGAGAGTTAGAAACAAGCACATAGACAGGAATCTCATGCTTATCCTCACTCTGAGTATTCTTCTCACCTCCGGTCTCAGTTGGGACTGATGTTTGGGGACACTGAAAATTGCAGATATGACAATGCATCTCAGGGTTTAATTACCAGGACACAGCATGATATCTTAGCAGCTTGTGCTGGTGGCCATCGCACCAATATTTTCAATTAATATTTATTATGTGAAGGGGCACATAGTGTGCTCTGCTGAAACATTGAGGATTTCAGGGGGGACGGGTCATAGGGTTGCCCCAGGCACATAGTCCATGTTTGGGAGGCGGAGCTTCAGAAGCAAGCAGCCCTGAGTTTGACTCCCTGCCCTGCCACCTAGTGAGTGACCTACCGGTAGTTCACTTCATCTCTGAGGCTCAGCTATTCCATCCACAGAATGAGGGTAATCACCTCAACCTCCAGAGATTTTAGGAAGGTCAAATGAGATGACACGTACGCACTGCTTATCCCAGTCCTTATCTGGCACTTGTTAAAGACTCAGTCGTGGCAGCTACTGCTACTGTAATTAGTTGAACTGCATCCCTCTTACCTGCACCCCCCCACTTCCACTCTGAAATTTCAGTGCACCAAGAGCTGCTGCCTGCAGCACCTCAAATTCTGTGCCTACAGATGAATCCTGGGATCCCCAAGAGACTATCTTCCTACAGATGAAAGAGGGGTGCATTTTGTGACCAATAAGTGGTACGATGGCACTACCAGCAGGCCCCTCACGCTGCCTCTCTCTCACATTTCTATGACACCTATTTCCATATCTTTCCCAGCCCCACCAACTGATGCACTGCCTGACTGCCAGGGAGGAGGTCAGGGAACACGTTCATGGGCTTTGAGGTGGCACAGGTCAGGGTTCAAATCTCTTCCCCATCCCCCCACTCCCAGCTGGGTGAGTTTCAGTATTTTACTTAACTTCGCTGAGCCTCCATGCTCTATGTCAGCCCCTCCTACTTGCAACCTTCGAATGGCAAGAAACACAAACTAGACTGCCAGCATGCTTGGCTGAACATAAGAATTCATTAAATGGACACTGAGAAGAGGCTGCAGTACCTCATGCGCCCATCGCTCCCCCAGCACCTCCGTCCCAGTCCAGGCTGCTCTGGAACTTTAGCCAGATTTCTTAGCCTTCAGCTTTGGCCTTTGAGGGAATTAGTATATCTTAGCCTACCTAGCACGAGTTCCAAACCAGCTGCAAGCCTGCTCATGAGATGGGAAGCCACTATGGTTCTAGATGAGGGGTAGGGACGTGGGGTGGCAGGAAAACATGTCTGCAAGTTGTTTCTTTGACAAACCTGCCATGGACATGTACAGTCTGTGTCCCTCTCCCTTGAACCTGAGCGGGCCTCATGACTGCTTAGACAAGCCTGGGGTAGGAATGATGTGGAATTTCTGAGGCTGGCTTAAAAGAGGTAAGAAGTGACTGCCTGGCTCTCTTTCAGAGCACTTACATGAGAGTCCTCAGCTGTCACGTTGGAAGACCAGGAGACCTAGAGTCGCCACTGGTTAAGGCCACATAAGAAGACCAGAAAGAGAATACAGAGAGAGACAGAGAGGTGCTGAAGGAGCCCTGGTGGTTCCACCCTGGCTGTTTGATTCTTTCCAGCCTGGAGGTCAGGCACGTAAGTGCAAACACCTTTGAGATTTTAGCTCCAGCCACCATCTGGGTAGGACTTATGAGAAATCCTGAGCCAGATCACCTAGCTGAAGTACTCTTGAATTCCTGCCCACAGACACTATGAGGAAGAATACTAAAGTGAGTCCTGTGTCTTAAGCCATTAAGTTCTGAAATGAGTCATTTGGCACAATACAGATATGGAAGAGAAAGGAAGAGAAAGACATTTTCTGAATATTTAATTTACCATTAACAATGGAATGCCCTTCAGATAACTCTCAAAGGCATGTCCTTTCTGCCCCGACTGCCACTCTTGAGATCCTCAGTCCTGTCATATGGTCAAGGATGGATCACAAGGGACCAAAGATACCCTGTCATCCTAGGAATGAAGTGAGAATTGGCCCTCCTCTCTGGTTCTCAGGAGTAAAGACTGTGTAATTAAGGTTGTCCATCCCACCAAGTGGGCCTTAGGACACCATGAGAATCACCCTGGTATATTATTAGTAATCACAATAGTGGGTACCATTCATTGAACAGAGCCTGGCAAGCTGTCCACCGAACCATTTTCCCTGTCTGGTACACACAGATAGTGTACATTTGTCAGCTTCTCTGGCAGGTAGGTGCAACCATGTGACTGAGTTCTCACTATTACGTGGGCTGCCTTCAGGCCTGACCCATAACACTTCTTGCTCAGTCCTCCATGCTCTTTCTCTTCCTTCATCTTGGGCTGAATTCAGTAAATCCAGTGGAGGACTCCAAGACTGTCAGACAGAAAGAACCTGAGTCCCTGAATGACTTCACAGAATAGAGACCCTCCCTCCCCTGTCTCTCCATTTACCCACATAAAACTCATTCAATAAATAATAATTCACGTTCATAATACACATTCAATAAATAATTCTTAAGCCTCTGAAATTTGTGGCCTATTTGTTATAGCAGTCTACATGGACAAATGCAGTATCTTTGAGTCAGGAACTTTCCATCTTTTTTTTTTCCTTTCTCTTTGCAACAGTTTCTGAAACATAAGTGTTATGATCTTCCTTGAAGATAAAAATACTGAAGATAGGAATTAACAAAAGCTGATGTTTTGGGGCCCAAACTCTGCACCAGACACTGTGCTAAAAACTGTATGTTCATTCTCTCTTATCCCAGACAGCAATCATATGTGGTAGATACTATTATTACCCCATTTTTCACATGAGGAAGCTGAA